ACGCTCCACGCTCCCGCCCAGCTACAGCTCCACCCCCACCCCCACCCCCACCGCTTCCTTACCTGCTGCCTGGAGCAAGTGGGATGCTAGGGAAGCCAACCAGGTCCCCTGCAGCAGCAGCCCTGCCTGGAAGCTGCTTGCTGGCCAGGCCGGGCCCTTCCGCCTGCAGTAGTGAGAGTGGGGTGCAATAGGGTATGTTAGGGGCATGTGTATACGTGGGTGCCTTGCTCCCACCCCTATGGGCGGAAGAGCTGGGTGGGGTACAATTCATTGGTGGATGATGCAGGCTGGGTGAAAGTGCCTGGCGGGCCAGATCTGGCCTGCAAACTGTATTTTGCCTGCCTCTGATTTATAGAGTAATGACATTGTTTTGAAATGTTGATGTTTGGATATATAATGCCTAATTCAGGAAAGCTCTTAAAAACATGTTCAACTTTCAGTATATACTTGATCCTGCTTGACTTCAGTAGAATCTAAGTAGATGAATAGAGGTGCTCTTCTGGGTCAACTTCTATTGTTGAGTTCATTACCAGGATGATGTTACGCATAATATGATATAATCTTGTACTAATATTATATAATATGCCATATTTCTAATTTTAATTTAATTAAAAAGAAATAACTATGTTGTTGGGATTTATAAAATCCAGATAAATCATGCAAATTGAGACTAATAAAAGCTCTTCAATAAATAATACCTCACTACATACAGCAAATCTGTCATGATGGAAATTCAGCAACTGCATCAAAAAGGGATTTTGATACAAAACACACCGGCAGCTGAGACCATTGCTGGAATATTTTAGAGCGGTCAGGTCCAGTGTGAGTGGCAGAAACCCTTTTTAGGAAACGTGGCATTGGTTTTGTAATTTAAAATTAACCATCAGTTTTTTCACTTAACTGCTGAGTCCTGTATTTGAGTTTCTGTTTCTATTTTAAGGGAGAGGTCCAAGCACCTGTGATGGTCTGTGCTCACTTCTGATTTCATCAGCTCTTTCAGGTCAAACACAGCCACAATGAACTCAGGATTCAGCAGTTAAGTGAAGTGGGAAGCAGATGTATACATTTGTAAATGTATTTGCAAAGGTGAGCTTGACAGCTTAAGATGTGTCCTTTGCAACATAAGTGTCCTTTGAGATACAAAGACTTCAAAGCCCTTTCCATTTCATCTCCTCCATTTGCAGGCAAACACTTTCTTATCTACTGCTTTTTCACAGTGAGAATGTCTGGCTTTGACTTTTGCTTGTGGTTAAGAGACTTCAGAAATGCTTTGAGGAATGGAATGGTAACTTCATAATGCGTCATCACCCTAAGACAGTGGTACTCAACTTCTCCAGTCCTAAGGTTCAAGTGGGTGGCACAGGATCAGTCTGCAGGCTGGATCCTGTGTGCTGGATCTGGCCACAATGCAACCTGGTACACAAGGTCATGTCATCTGGAGCTTGAGGCTCCCTCCAGGTGTGGAAATTTGGTAACAGGGGAGCAGTGTCAGCATTAATTGCCATGGTTCTGAGAGCAACTAGTGATTAGGTACTCCCCCACCAGCACATTTCAAGACCCATGGGAAGCCCTAGGGGCCAGAAGACATGGCTTTGTGGGCCAGCAGTTGAGGAGCACTTCCCTAAGATCTTGATCTCCCAACCCACAGTTGGATACATCTGACTTGAACCTCACTTCAGCTGATGGCAGGGAAAGCCATTGCCCAGGTATCCCTCTTTTGGGTGTGTAACCATCCCAGTGACCCCAATATCAGCGAAGTCCTTCAGCAAAAAGATGGAAGTTAGAACCTCTGCTTCCAAAGCCTAATAGCACCAACAATTTGGAGGGTTTTTTTTCTGTTTATCATCATAAAGGACTTAGACGCACTTTTTTCTAGTAAACTTGATAACCTGGGATCCTGGTTCTTTTTTTAAAGCTTTGTTTTTTACAAGTGTAGGATTTTTCAGTCACTCATGGCCAGTGACCAGTCTGCTCTCATAGATGCAAATTCAAACTGCAACCATGAAAGGTTGTGGTTTGCACAGTTTGAGCTTATGAATACTTGAAAAGCACATGAGGGAAAGGAGGCAGGGAATATTAAATTTAAGGTTGCAAGAAAAGCCTGAAGTCATGTGAATAAATGCACTATGTAACAAAGCTTTTTAGATCACATTTTATTTTCTCGGCTGCTTCATTTACTTTTGCTCTCTTGGGGGTGTCTTAACTTTTCAGTTACTACGTAAATGGCCGAACTGCTACCAGAAAGGATTTCTTGAGCCCTGAAGTGCTGGATACCTTTATTACAGCAATAAACAATGTTTTTCAGGTACAGCGTTTTGTTACAATGTCCTCACACTTAGATCCAATACTGAGTGTAGATTAGAATAGGATAAACTAGCAGTTAATTTAAGCAATCTAAGAGATTGTTCTCATTGTAAATAATGTAACAAATATTAACAATGCTAACAACATCTGATCCTGCGGAAAATATTTTAATGGAAGGAGAATCATCATTTTACCATAAGGCTAGAGAGAGTATACACTACAGAAATGAAAACAGATGGATTTGCCCATGCCGTCACAGCCTCAGAGATGGAATTTCTGGGTGGATTCTGTCATTTTTACATGAAGTAGTATCTCATTTACTATGTATTCCTGCTGACTTCAGTAGGATGGCATGCAGAGTAAGGTGCCACATAGCATGAGTAAGGACATTTTTATGTACCGTTTTCTGCAACTGGTCACCAGATCTTCCCTGGAGCTGTGCTTTATTCAACCTGAGGTTGCTAGGAAAAACCTCTGAAATTCATACAACTTACCCAGAGACCTGATTTGATCTGATTCATTTAGGGAGACCCGTGGGTTTACTTATTTACTTTTCTTTATCCTAACAATATGACATTCTCTAGATTGTTGATGGAACTGTTCCTGGCAAAAAAGTTTGGTTAGGAGAAACAAGTTCAGCCTATGGAGGTGGAGCACCCAGACTGTCTAATACGTATGTTGCTGGCTTTATGTAAGTAGAACAGCGTGCATTTATTCTTTTCCAAGGTGGTTCTGGGAGACCTGGTTACAGCTCTACCTTTAAAGGCATATCAGCAACATTCTTCCTGACTAAGTAGGAATGGGTGCTGGTTTCTCTGAAGCCCAGTAACATTCATGCATTTACAGATCTAAGTTCATTGCTCTTAAGCCATCTATTTCCCATGGCCTAAAGCTGTTACTCCAAAATGCATCTGTGAGATTTAAGCATAAATGATAGCCAAATATACAGTATTCTGTAACTTCTGGCTAGAAAAATAGGTTTTTCAGGCTTCTGAATAGGTAAAAAAGCAGGGCTAAGTAAGTGCAGTCCATAGAGGATGGCATGGCCTTTGTATCTTTCTTTAGAGTAGCTGATTGGGTTTAGAACTGGAAGCATGACCCACAAAAACTATGGTTGCCAGCATCCAATGAAATTGGAGAAGTAATTCTGGTAAAGTCCCAAACTTCAGTTGTAACTTGTGCCCCATCCACTTGTAATGCCAACATAGGATGCAGTTGACAAGTTTGAAAAGACCCGTACAATAAGATTGTTCTTTTTTCTTTCTTTTACCCAGACTAATCTCAAAACAACTAACCATGTTGGTATTTAAATTGTCCCTAACAGATTTCAGAGTTAAAACTTCACTGAAATGACTGGAATACTCAGACCTTTAATTTATCTGTCTGCAAACTCAGAAAGACACCACACTATTGTTTGGTTCATATTATTGAAGGTTATCTTGGCAACCACAACATCTACGGAATTTAATTGTCAAATGAAAGTCAAATGCTAGAATGAAATATAACCTGAGCATCTGATAGTCCACCTCAATATGCCTGTGCTGAACTCAAGATCATATAGTAACTCCTTAGCCCCACCAGTTGCCTTTGTTAATGCAAAAGAAGAAAATAGCTTGGGAGTTCAAGGAAACAGTACAGTTAAACCAGGTAGCTAGTCAGAATCCAATCCAAAATGCTTCTCCAGGGATGCTTCTCCAGTGCCTGATTTTTTTATTTTTTTATTTTGTTGCACAGTGTTTTGTGGGAGTCGGCATTATCTCTTTTCTTATTTCTGCTGTATGCAGAGGTGAAAAAATAATTTAATCTATATAATTTAGTCTAGATCAACAGGTATTGTTCTACATATTTTAGGACTGTTTGCATTAATGTTTAGCTTATCTTTCTCTTCTCCTGCAGGTGGTTGGACAAATTAGGACTGTCAGCCAAATTGGGAATTGATGTGGTGATGAGACAGGTATTCTTTGGAGCAGGAACCTATCACCTGGTGGATCAGAATTTTGAACCCTTGCCTGTGAGTATACAATAACATTAGTTTGACAACAACTTCATATATGTATATTTACGTGCTGGTTAAAGCTGATGTACAGGCAGAGGTCAGCTATTATAACAACCTGGCAAGAGCTGCAAATTCTGAAAGGTATTCACAAACGTGTATCCTTCTGTCTAAAATCAATTAAGTTCGGAGTATGGGTCAAATGCGCTATAGCAAAGCAACCTCTAGCAAAAAATGTTGAGAGAGTCTTTGAGCCTAAGCAGTAGAGATGAGCCTGAGAGAAATCTGATCAGGGTCCAAACTTTCCAGACTCATGAGGATTTTGTTTAGTGTTTTTAGTTTGGGTATTTTTTGAGTGAGTGATTTTTTTTTTCCAAAAGTTGTGATGAGACACCACTGTTTAGCTCTTTTAACTATGAGCTAACAACATAATATTATTTAAGTACAAAGCAAGCATTTTATCACAGCTAAAACCAATGTACTTTTTTCTTTCCTATATCACAAAGAGAACACGTGTTATTTGGAACAGTGTTTTGTTTCGATGAAAGGTTTTCTGCATTGTAGCTTCTGTTAGCTCTGTCTAAATAAGCAGCTACACTTAGGTGAGGGAATAACACTTCCCTGACTTTTTCTTCCCTTTTCTCCACATGTGGTCCCCACCCAAGCTGTGGCTATTACAGATTCCAGGAAACAGGGCTGATACAGCAAATAGTGTCTCTAGCTACAGTGCTGTTCTTTGTGTTCTCATCAGAGTGGCAAGGCTGCAGGTGGAGGAGGAGTTTCCTTAATCTGAAATAAAAGTCATCAAAATGAAAAGCCACTGCTTGTTCCTGGGTACAAAAAACATTAACAAAAAATAACAGTCTTCACAAGTGCTGTCAAGGCTGCTGAACCCCATGTGAGACCAAACCATTGGATTTTGGAGTGTAGCCAGAGTGCTTTTTACAAGTTCGAGAGCTGCAGAATTGGAACTGGCAAGTGGGCTATGGAAGCAGTGGGAAATGTATACAACCATAAGCAAACCCATCTCTCTGGTCTTGCTGGTGAGTTGCCCAGCAGAGCAGTGAAGCTTGTCCATGTCCTTTGCTCTGAAAATCAGACAGTGTCCAGGGTCCAGCAGAAATATGAAAATAAAGACAGTTTCTAGGACAGCTAGAAGCTTTTTAGCTTTGATGTGGTCCTCATATGTGTAGTTATGGTCAAGGAAATGACACTGCAAAAAAATGAAACTTATCAGCTCTGCATTGTTTTCCAAGCCATATCTAGTAAGTTGAACCAAAGACCAGGTTTTTCCTGTTGCTAGCACTGCAGTGCTCTCTTGTGGCAGACAGAAAGTTGAACTCATCAATAAAAAACTGAGTGTAAAAAGAACAGTTCAACAATATAAAGACACGGTTATGGTCTTGCCTGTTTTTTGCCTTAGTGTAATTGCCGTGATTTCTGTGAGGTTGCTCTGGGCTACAAAACTGTGCACCTTCAGGATAGAATCCCTGATATTTATTGAAAGGCCACTTTAGCAGTGAAGAATGTAAATGGTTAAAGCTGTTTTAAAGGCTTAAGTATTGCCAGGCACAAGTGGAGCCAAACATCAGTTGTTTCTTTCCAGTGCTGAGGACAGCTCAACCCATATCAATTTCAGTAGAAGCTCAAGGTGCTTAGTGCCTTGTAGAAAGTACCCAGCATTTTTCAGAATCAAATCCTCCATCTCCCTCTTGAACAGCTTTGTATCCCCTTCTCACAAGCACAGTGACTCTAAACACACTATATGAATGCATTCATTTTACAGTTCAGGGTTAGAATTTGCTTCTCTTTCCCATTTTCTGTGAATTGAACAAATTGTACATGAAAGATCCAATTTTAATCTCTTATCAGGTGATAAAAGGCAAACATGAGAGTATCATAAAAGTGGAATTCATATTTTAGGGGCAGTGAAAGTTGTTGGTGCTTACCGAGAAACCCTTCAGCCCAGGGAGTGCACTCAGCCTTCTAGCTTTTTTACTTGGATTCACTTTTAAGCAGACACAGCCTGTATCATTACGTTCTTCTTTATCTACCATTGCATCAGTGGGTGCGGCTGCACTTGTTTGAAAGGACTGGCAGTATTTGCATTTTAGAGTGTTCACATTCCAGTAATTTGATGGGGATGGCACACTCACTGCACTGTCACTGTAGCCAGCATACAGCAACTCAGAAGTGTGCTTTGGGGCTAAACTGCATTTTCAGCCTGAGACTTCACACCCAGCAGGGCTCAACATTCAGTATTTGACAGCGAATCCTGTATACCTGAATATAACAAATTATAAGGTGATAAAGGGGGAAATGGATATGATCATCCATGCTTGTTTGTACTTGTTTCATGCAAATCGGGCACAGCCCTTGGGGTCTTAGCTGATTTTCAGGCTCAGATTTTGAATGTTAAAGAAAATGGTATCATTTCACAAGAGCACCTCAGGGTATTATTTTACTCTGATCTTGACAGCTAATTTGACAGATTGGATTTTTTTTTTGTGCAACACAGGATTACTGGCTTTCCCTGCTATACAAGAAGCTGGTTGGCACCAAAGTGCTGCATGTTGGCCTGAAGGGGGCAGACCAGAAGAAGCTTCGGGTGTACCTTCATTGCACAAACAACCACCAGTAAGCATTTAAACACAACACCCAGGACAAAGGACTACCTGGAAAGCAAAGGCCCCATTGCAGTACAAGCCCATGGGAAACCATGAAAACATGGCAATAGCCCACAATAGGCTTTGCAATAGGTTACAAATGTTCTGCATTCACACAGTGTAACATGGAGATTTGTGAGGGAAATTTTTAAAACATTAGAGACTTTCTGAAGAAATGTTAAAATGAGCAGGCCATGTGAATTGCTATCCAAAATTACCTACGAAAGGAAGGATTGGTTTGTGGTAAAAAACAATGGGTGACCTGGGTTTGTTTTTTGCCCTGCAATAATCTCCCTGAATGGCCTTAGGAAACTACCAAATCTCTCCGTTCCTCAGTCCCCAATTTTTAGAATGGGAACATTTCTTTCCTTCCAGCCCTGGCCTGTCTTGTCTGTAGAATCTTCCTCAGTATGAGAAAGGAGACATGCATTAGTACAGCGCCTTGCACAGTGGGGCTCTAGTGGCAGGGGAAGCCTGTAGGTGTTAAAAATGGTAATGATGCCACCCACCATTGGATCCTTCTACAGTGTTCTCCCTTTTTTCTCCCTGCCATCCATCACATTTCCTCAGCAGCCTAGGCAAGGAGCTGGCTCTGCAGACAGACCTGCTGATTCAGTTGCTCCCTCCCTCTGGTGCTGAGGGAACAGAATCTGCCCAGTTAGGGAGGAACCTTCTTCACAATTCTGTAACTTCACTTTAAGAGCTGGTCATAAATATGCCCTTTCTATTACCTTTCAGCCCCAAGTACAAAGAAGGAGATGTTACACTGTTTGTTTTAAACCTCTACAATGTCACAAAGCGCTTGCAGCTACCTTATTACTTATCTAATAAACACATAGATGAATACCTTTTACTACCTCATGGGAAAGATAACATATTTTCAAGGTAAGAAGACATCATTTTCTGTTGTTGTAAAAAGTACCCCAACTCACAAGTAGGTGGCCTGTAACCAGGTCTCTATGAGTCTCTAAATACAAAGCATAAATAATCCAACAACCTCTCTCTTTACAGATCTATTCAGTTGAATGGTCATGTCTTAAGGATGGTGGATGATAAAACACTGCCAACACTTAACGAGAAACCCCTCAGTCCAGGAAGCATGCTCAGCCTTCCAGCTTTTTCATACGGGTTTTATGTCATAAAGAATGCCAAAGCTACTGCTTGCATTTAAATGTTACGCACACACTCCCAGGGGGTTTATAATAGCAGTGTGGCTAGAATTAAGGTTTGATAGTAAGGAGCTGGCAAGATTCTGGCAATCTTGATGCAAATCCGTTGGTGGCAACAGTACAACCTGAGGGAGGAGAAGGCATAACTTTAAACTGTGTATGGTGTGTGCATGGAATATGTTTATGTTGAGCCTCAAGAACTTTTTTTCCTGGGAGAAGAGGTTGATTTTTCCTTCTCTTTGTCTCTAAGAGGTACATTTACAACCATTCTTTCATTCTGTATGCCTCTCCCACAAGAGTTACCTTGCATCTGCAGATCTGCCAGCCAGAGACTTAAAAGGTCCCTCATCTTCTAGTTCTTATAAATATGTAAGCACAATTTTTATAGCAGCACTGTTTTTTCCCTTACAAAAGATGGGGTTAGTGTGTTTCTGATTATACCTCAATGTCTTCATTGTGTGGTTTCTTCAATGCCTACAGAATGTGACAAAGCAGGAGGCAATTGTGGGGACTGTGAATTATGAGCTCTGATCATTGTGATCTCTGATTAGTTGATAGTCATGTAGGGAGCAAAGAGAGGAGAAAACATGCTCCATGGCAAAATAAGGAAAAGTTTTATATGAAGAAGGGGATGGAAGCAGAGTTGGGGAGAATGCAGAAAATGAGAAAGAAGGAAATTAGGTCCACTAAAAGCATAGCTAAAGGGACAGGGGAAGAGGCATACTCCTTTCCCCTTATTTGATTCCTGGCATAACTCAGATCATCTGAAATTGGGTGAAAATGACTGTTGCCCACTGATTTCCACTGAGTTATGGCAAACTACATCAGCTGGGGCTCTAGTCCTGATTATTCAGAACATAATCAAAGCTCCTGAATAAACTTGTCATCTCGTCAACATACTCAATACTCAGTATCAGTTTTAAAGACACTTCATCTCACAGAGAGAGAAAAGAATCCCCCAACATAGTACAGTCTTTTCCAGTATCCTAATGACTGCTAGTGCCTGACTGAGTGCTCATTAAGGTTATGGACACAGCAAGAATGAAAAGCTGTATCCATTTTAGCCTGTACTCATTTTTCAGGCTTAAAAAACCCATAATCTTTCTGTAACTCCATCAGAAAAAAGGGTCTCCTGTATGAAGGTCCCTGATGTCACTGAGTTATGATCGGTTTGGCAGTCCCTGTTTTTTGTCCTTGAAGAGGAAGAGGAATAGACAGTCTGATCCAAAGCCCAAAATCAGTGGAAAAACTTTGGTGAGGGACCAGGCTCAGAATAACTACATAGCATTCCATGGCCCTAGGAGAAAGGTGGTTTCTCCCAAACAGACCCATGAGCCAGCTTCATATTACAAAATTCAGGAAACCAATACAGATTCTTTGGGCCAGCAGAAGTGAATTGCAGCTGGACCCTTCTTTTCTTGGCAAACTTTCACAGCCATTTTTTTTCTCATTTCAATCTATTTTTCTTTATACCCACAACTTTCACCTCTGCACAATTCCTATCCACAAGAACTACTTATTCCTTCATAAATAAATGCAAATAATCTCAAATCTGTGAAGTACCTGAAGACACAACTGCTGTCTCTGATAAACTTGTATTTGTACCTATATGACATCCACTTATTTGTGCTTATTTTGAAGTGCATTGGGGAAAAGTACCACATAGCTCTATTTTGTTTTTCAGAATTTGAAAGGACACTATTGAGTAGATAAGGCACCAAATCTGGGTATTGTTTTTTAGAACTTTAAAACATACAATTTAAAGATATTTATTTATAAAGTATCATTTAAAATTTTCAGGGAAAACAGATGATTTGTGTTTAATTTTTTTCACAGCAATGTTTTCAACCACAAAATTGCAGAATTGTGCTAATACACACATATGAGGAAGTAAAATGGGCTATAAATCAAATGACAAATCTCTTTTCATTATTCAAGTTTAATTGCTGAAGTAAGTAGACAGCGTAAGTGACTGATGACAACTAAATTAGATCAGTAAATTTCTTAATTTTAAAAACTAAAGAGTTGAAACTAAGTGATTCAATTTGGTTTTAGCCTGATTGTCTTTTTAAACTGTTTTTTAAAAAGCCAAGACAGTCAACACTGTTTTTAATATTTGTATGTGACTTTTTATATTTGCACATTTTTAATAAAGCAATTTATATTACAGTTTGGTAATTCCATTTTTAAGTGACTTGTTTTTAGCATATGGTCAGTCATGAGAGGAACCTGACAGTTGAATTTCTTCCTTTCCATTTAGGCTATATCAAGCAGTCTTTCTATGATTTCCTATGAGTGCCTGGTAGACAAAACCTTGAATGATGCAACATTTTCTGATTATATTTTTTTGTGAAACATGACAAGACACTACTTTACAAACACTTATCTTACCATTTAAATCACAAGGGATATAATATTATAGAGGCAAAGATTGTGGGAAGGCGTTAAAAGGAATTAATAATTTAAAGACTTATTTCCCATATCTTCAAAAAATGAGCCATGGTGACAGTTTGGGTTTATTTCCTCATGTAACTACCATTATGGACCAATAACTGGTGATATTTAGAACCTGGATAATGCTTTTCAACTTGAAAATACAAACGTGTTACTATATGTTATAAGTTGGCTTGGTGGGATTCAATTTTTATTGGTAAACATTTATAAATGTTGATCTCACCTCATACTCACAGACCAATGAAAAAATGTTTTCAGGTCTCCTTTTGGAAGGCTGCATAACTCAAAGCAAAAAGTTTTTATGCACAGCATTAGTTTATGTATATAAAACCACAAAGGTCTATTTACACTAGAATTGATAAGAGTTTGGCCATGAATTTAAACTGCAGCCCAAGCAGGCTTTAGTCACATATACAGTAATCTCTTCCTCTTATTAACTGTAACCTTCAACAAGCCTTTAATACTGTTGAATAGTCAAGACTATAAGGTGCATTTTTTATTAGATACACTAATGCTTCTGCATGATGAATCATACAGTAATGGGACTTATCCTCAGATCAATCTGAAGAAAAATAATCTGTTATATCTGTGTCTATAAAGCTATTTCTATATCTATAGATGCCGATGTAGATGGAGCTCAATAAAATATTGGAACTCCTCCTGTAATATCTCTTTTACATAATATTAAGTTGTAATTAAGCTTGTGATTGAAGAATTTATTCCAATTTGCTACACCTGGAGTTTCACTATATCAAATTTCAGTAACTGTGGATTCCACAAATTGTTCGATTGCACCTCTCTTGGTAAATTTTTCTGTTTGTCCAGTTTTTCCTATTAGGCTAGCTTTCATGGATTAAAGTTAATTGTGTTCAATTTTTGTGAAGTCTGGTGTGCTGGAAAGGGAGGAAAGCTGTGTCATAAAATGCCAGTGACCCTCCTTATGACTGGTGTCAGGAGTACATGCCTTGGCCCTCTCCTACCTGACATCCTATTGTGCTGACCTTAAGTTAAGTAAGAAGTTTCCTTTTATTACCTAAGGCAGCACATGAAACACCTGCACAGCCAGTCCTTGAGCCCAGCCCATTTGTGCATGGAAATAAGGGAAGAACATTTATAAAACATGCTTTCTATGTGGGAGCTGCCCTTGACCGTCCGGAATATATTAGTCTGTCCTCTGACAGAGGTGGGGCACCAAGAGCACATAACTCCAGTGGTCCAGAGTCTGCACTGATAGAAGTTGTTCTCAGTAGTCCCATTGAGGCACACCAGATCCCAAGCCTAGACATCTTCTGCAAGTGCTATAAGACCTTGTTTGGGAAGATGTTTAGAAACCCAAGCTAAGTTGGGAGAATGTTTAATGAGTTTTAGAGTTGTGTCTATTTTAATACTCTACCTACTTTTACAGGTAATTTTTTCCTCTTATTTTAAGCTGACCTGAGCCTTTGTCCAGGCTAAAACAAATATAATTGTTCAGAATATAATGTCCATCTCTTCAGAGGAAAAGCAGTAGTGATGGTCAAGTGGCTACCTTACCAGGGCTAAGTACAGATGGTCCAAAAGCCCAAGGCTGAATCAATCCAATCTTCACAGGTTTTTCTAAACTGTCTAGATTGAACCGATAATGAAGTGAACTGCCCTGCACTTTTGAAACCAGGAAGGCAGC